TACTTACAATACACGGTATATCTAACTGTATATATGAGTGAATGTTATATAAAGTAGAGAATATATTGTATATATAGTGTATATAATACTTACAATTGAGCTCTAATGCAATGCTGGCAGAGACTGGTCGGGAAAGATTAGAGCTGTTGGCCCGACACGTGAGGATAGACTTGTGATCCGTACGTAACAGACGTGTTATACTCAACTCGTTTCGTACGATTCCCTGTGGGGTCACTATCCAGGAGTCGTCCAATAGTGTACTGTCTTTATACCAGTGAATGCTTGGACGCGGTTTGCCTGCAATTTCGGTGCCAACCAAACAATTTATATAATGATAAATTACCTCAAATTAATACCAGCTTTTGCTTTGCTCGAGATTTTTGTTGTGTTTTGTATTTTTTTGTGTTTGTTTTCGTTTAATTAATCGTCGGATAGTTATTGTGAGAAAAGTCTATCCGTTGGTAAGGAAAGGGGTTTTTGTGTAATGGTTTGTATGCTTTTTAAAAAACTAATAACTTTTATTAAAGTTATTAAAAAGTCTGAGCTTTACTGTTGTGCTGGCGGTTAATAATTGATTACTGTCTGAGTTTTTAATTAAATATAAATTAGAAATTAAATTACGTAAAAGTTTATTAGCTTTTAGTTTTTGTTATGCTTTTCCTCTTTTTGTATTACATTAATAATATTTAAGAGAAGAAAATAATTTCATTAAAAGTGATAAATTAATTCAATTTTTGAAATGAATATTGAATTAAATAATTCATTCATTGCAATGAAATGGCTAAGACTTGAGGTCAACATGTAATGGATGGATACCATACCTCCCTCGGCCTCACAGATCACAGTCAGGTGCGCCCCTTCATTGAATGGTCCGACCGGATCACGCAATCGCTGCCCGTATTCATCCATTATTATCACTTCTCTTGGAGGCACTGATGGCAGGAGATGTCACACAAACATTGAGAGAGAGAGAGAGAGAGAGAGAGAGAGAGAGAGATTACACAGCGGCGGCAAAAACTACAAGAAGGTAAAGTATTTCACACAATCGATTGAATTGTATGAACACCAAAAAATATGTCCAAAAGAAATGGGAATAAATAAAAAATAACAAAAAATATAAAACGAGAGGAAAAATGTATACAAGAATAAAGAGAATAAGAAATAGAGAGATAGAGAAAGAAGAATAAGAAGTGTAAATAGCAAAGTGAGAGAGAAGTGTCCAGAAAAGTGTACTTACAATACACGGTATATCTAACTGTATATATGAGTGAATGTTATATAAAGTAGAGAATATATTGTATATATAGTGTATATAATACTTACAATTGAGCTCTAATGCAATGCTGGCAGAGACTGGAAGAGAGAGAGAGAGAGAGAGAGAGAGAGAGAGAATTTAATTAATTTTCCAAACGAAACAGAAATACAAAAAAACAAATTTCAAAATAAAATTATAATTAATTAGTTTGTAGTGTAAATTGTAATACCGATTACGTCTAATTGGACGCTCCGATACTGAGTCCGGCCCTTCCGGAAGTCTATCCGACATTTGTATTCCCCGATATCGGCGGCTATTTATTACGTGAATTACAAATTCATATATTATTAATACATATAATTATTTTGTTATTAACTAAATATGTAATTATAATAAATTAGACTATGAATGTCATGGGAGTCTTAGGTGTAATTCATGGGATTATTTATTTAATTCAATGAAAATATATCTATTTATATGATGTGAGAGAAAATTGAGTTTTAATAATATATATATAATTCTGTTTATTCGTATGATTTATGTACTCAACATGTTTTCATCACTTAATTATGTTTATAAAAAAATAACAACTAATTATATATCAAAAATATATGTAACATAAAAATGTTCCTTAAGTTTATTGCAAGAATATTCTATAAGTGGGATATAAACTACAGAATAAAGTCATTATTTATCGTTATTATTAAATAAGTCGATAAATAGTCGAAAAGTAAATATTTTTATTATGAATTATGAATGAAAAGCAATTATTGATTGCATCAGAATTCTGGCTATAAATCGATTGATTTGATTAACAGTCACTCACTTTATAGAAACAATAAAAGGCAAAAATACAACAGATTTTTTGGGGGCAAAAATATTTTGTTGCTATAATTTATATTACTATACATCTATTGATCAATGATATCTCCGCAACTAAACTGTGTGTATATATACTGTACTGTATATAGCATTTTGGGAATAGAAATAACTTATAATATAATTATCGATATATAATATAAATGAGAGTTAGAGCTCACCCTTCACTGACTCCACAACGAGAGCTGTTGGCCTGAAATGAATGATTGGAAACAATTGTTAACAAAAAGAAATAAGAAGAATAAAATATCAATAATATATATAAATAATATTTTTCTCTAAAATGTACTCTCAATTCAATGGAAGAGATGGAGAGGAAAACGACGAGAGAGAGAGAGAGAGAGAGAGAGAAGAAAAAGAGAGAAGATTTATCAATATATTGGAGGTCTTGTACTCGCAAAACAAAATTCAATAAAGTATTGAAAATTTTTCAGTTCAATCAAGTGTTTGACTCGTAAGACATACATAATATTTATGACTGACAGCACCCGCCGTATTGCGGGACATATTTTTAATAAAATCAATGGATTGAAAACTTGGGACTATTTTTTGTTTGTTGGCCTGTCGTCTATTTGGACGACTTTTAATTCACGGCATACTCGCGGTTATAATGCACTTATATTTTGCAAATAATTTTTATACACTTTATCCTTATTTTTGGCAATTTTTATTTATAGAGATTATTATTTAGACAAACAGTGTTATCGCAAATATAAACTATGTTTAAAGAATATTCCTATAAAATACAATACTTAATGTTTATTTATTAGCAGATTATACATATGCAAGTTGTCTGTACGCCTATTATACTGCACAGAATATACATACTGTATATACATATAATATATTTTACTTCAATATAAAAAATGATTTGTTTTTAGGTTTTGAAAAAAGAGTGCACTTTAGAGACAAACACATAAAGCATTGACACTAAGATCAGTAAGAAATTGATTCAAAGAAAAAAACAATACAAAAATAAGATAGAAATGCATTATTGTGTTTGCGTTGCATATCATTGATATACAAAAAGTGTATACAAGTATTCAAATGCCTTTTTAATACAAAAACTTTCGTACAAATAAACAACAAAAACATTGCCTCACTTTGCCGTACAATAAAAAGCAGCACTTATTTTATTTATTTTATTAAAAACTATATAAAGTTATAAAATATTTTGTTGTCTTAAGATTCACGCATTCTTTACAATGTTGAGAGAGAGAGAGAGAGAGAGAGAGAGAGAGAGAGAGAGAATTACTATGATGTTTAAGTTACTAAATATAATTGTGGTGTTAATTATTCATTTTGACGACTATTTTATATTTCCCATGAGTTAACCAAATGTCTAGACTTTAGCCGTATAAGACATACACAGTTGTCTTATTTAATACACATTCCTATCAAATAAGATGTTTAGCACAAAAACATTTCTACAAATAATTTTCCACAACTTTAAAACAATCTCTCCTTTTCTTGTGATTAAATATTTATAAATAATTAACGCTAAAAGTGTTTTGTTTCGCTTCACCAGCGAATCAATAGTTTTATTTTTACTTAACAAAAGGCCACTTATTTATTGTGTTTTAAACAAAACACTTTTGGGAAAAATTGTTAATTTAAAATCAAAATTCAAGTGAAAATTAGATTTTTATATCCAAACGGTTTAATTGAAAAGACAATACTTGTATACTTTATATATTGTGAATAATGAATTAAAATGAATATAATTTATATAAAAATATATTTTCAATTATTAACGCTATAATCTGAACGAAACCTTCTCTCGAAAAGGTATAATTCAATTATAATAAAACACATTTTGCATACTATTTCTCATTATAATAATTGTTGAATTGAAATACAAGGGGTTAGGGATGTGTTCGTGCGTTCAATCAATTGAAAAGCCAATCGTATGAATGAATGGACAAAAATAAATGAGTGAAAAATAAATTTATTTCGGACATCAATCCTATTGAATGCCTAAAACAATATTGTGTTTGCACTCTATATGTATAGATATATCGATGGTATCCGTAAGCGTCAGCACAACATTATATGCCCAAGAATTTGTCATTTATTTTGCTTTTTGATGCAAAATATCAATACAAATCTATAGCTAATCATAGATTATATACATTTTATGCATGAATATACACCAAAGTCCGAGAAAAGTTTAATAAAATATATCATATTTATATACAGTATATGTACTATTTGTATAATAATGTAATCGTATACATAAATAAAATGTGACTTCAGCTTACAGTGCAATCATAATATACAACACCTCTGGCGCTAAATTCTTGATTATATGTCATATATTCTCTATATATTCATATATTTCTCAATAGTATTACAATATATGTGTTATATATTCATATCGATAGTATACCAAAACAGCGAGTCATCACAAATCTGTCAAATATTTATTTCAATTCATTTTCTTTCTCTTCAATAATCATAAATATAATACTTATATATAAAAGACTGAATACAAGGCGATAATAAAAATATTCTGTACATTAGCTTATATTTTAATAATTACAGACACACTGTGAGAGCCGTACACTAAACAGTAATAATCATAAAATGTTAAACAAATTAAATGCATAACAAATATATATTTATATACTATTGAGAGAAAGAAAAATGAAAAAAGACATGAATTCATAAATAAAGGAGACGTCGAGTCAAACCACTTGAAGGCAATACTACTTGTAGTGCATAATTGAGTACAAATTAATGCAATCTTTTTATTTCTTCGGCTTTTATTGTAGAAGTTTTTTCTCCCATTGATTCTCCTATTCCTCACTCAAACTCCACTATTTATTTCTTTTATTCTCGTTTTCCTTCTCATTCTTCTACTACTTTCTGATGTGTCGGCCAATGATTTCAATGCAATACACATGTCATGTATAATACAATATATAAAATATATATAAATGTCTTACTTTCCCGTTATGTCAATATAGGCACGAGAGCTGAGATCATCGGAGACCAGATGTTTCGCCCGTTGAATGCCATTGGCTTTGCGGGCGTCCAGCGAGTAGAGGGCCGTCTCGGCGTCCCCTCTGAACCATAGGATCAGATCGATTGAGTCGTTAAGGGGTCGACTCACGTTACACGGAAGCACCGCTTTGCCCTTCAGGGGGTTATACAATGGTTAATACGCTATTTATATGACCGTATATGACCATGATTGTATCACAGTACAATATAATGTATGGTACGAGCCATCAATTAGTGATATATTACATGAAGACTATTTGTATCAAACCATATGACAGATACACACATACATACAGTGCACACACACACGGAAAAAAATGCCCACTGATTAATATGGATATGTCTATCAATTATTTACTTATAAGTAATACGATTATTGGGACACTAAATAATGGATGAGTTGGGAACTACTGTAATATGAAGTGTGTGTCCAAACTATTATATGTCTCATACTATGGGGTGAATTACCTGCTCTTCCGCCACCACATGTATAGCCGGTTCCGATTCCTCGTCAGCCATAAGCGAGAGTTGCAATAAATTCATTGTCTTTTGTTCGCTATTCAGTGCGCCTGAAATGAGACCGAAAAATAAAACATTATTGTAATTTTAGTGATTTTTTTCTGGCGTATAAATCATTTCATTAATCATATATTTATAGCATATTTCATATTCTCGTTTAAATAAATGAATATTTGATTTAATTATAAATCCCGTTTCCCGGAGACCTTTCTCGCACTCAAATGATAAATGAATGAATAATTTGTTTGATATAAAAATCGATTCAATTTATGGATTAAACCGTCAGTGAATGTGAATGTTATGAAACTAATCAACGATTTCATAAATTTTTAATCAGTAGTTAATTATAACGTATTAAAAATTTATATACTTTTGAGTTATTACGGCGAGAGAGAGAGAGAGAGAGAGAGAGAGAGAGAGAGAGAGATTCAACATAAAAACGTAATTCTCATATAAATTATAGTCAAAACCATAAATAGTGAATGGATTGGATTTTTTAACAAAAAAAACTTTGCTTTTATAATAAGCTTTTTTAAATAACGGACTAATTATATCATCACTTATGCATTGTTTTGAGATTTTTAATATTTATGTACATTTATTTTTTTGTACCAATAGTTGTCAAAAACTTATACTTAATTTTGCAGTAAATTTACTCATTATTTGCACATTTTGTTTATGAAAAGAGTTAGTTTAGTGTCAAAAATTGCGATTTTGTATACAATGTATACGGATTTTTTGTTGCATTGTATTTTAGCTTATTATTAATTTTACACATTTGTGCCCTTTTTTCTAACAACAAAAAACAATTGATGCATAAAATTAAAATTAATCGACGCCTCTATTGAATGAAACTAAACAAAAGGTTTTGTTTTACGCAAAAAAAACACATTAATGTATTAAACCATTCATTCATTTTCAACACATTTTTTCGGTGGTTTCAGTCGATAAACACTGGGAGAGGGAGGGAGAGAGAGAGAGAGAGAGAGATTGCGAGAGAAAAATAAAAAATATAAAAACTTAATAACAATTAAAAGTGATTTTTGCCGTCAAATACATATGACTTTAACTTTCTGTGTGTCACTGAAAAAAACATTTATTAATACATCCATAAAATAAGTAGGAGTGGTATATATTTGTATGGAGAGAGAGAGAGAGAGAGAGAGAGAGATAGAGAGAGAGAGCGAGACAGAGGTCAGTGTAAATTGTCTCCTGGTTTTTGTCAGAGAAGTCTTCTTTGATGCGATGAAGAGTTATATTATACGAGAGCTAAGAGTGAAGAAAGAGATGACTGAAAGAAAAATAATAATAAACTCAATACGGATGACAACAACGACCACATAATGAGAGAAATAAGGATTGTGTGGAAATTGACAAAAATAATAACACTTTTTCTCTCCTTTTTCATATACCACACACACCTCTTATTCTCTCTCTCTCTCTCTCTCTCTCTCCTCCCTCCACGAACATTAGCGATGGTAAAGGGATGGCCAGGTTGTGGCCAAATAACACATTGAGAGTATATTGTGTTTAATTAATCAAATAAAAAATATCATATGATTGAATCATATAATTATAATTTAGATGATGTGAGTATTTAATGTATTTTTAATCAGACATACGTCTAATCCAAGTCCTCCCAAACCATTTGGTCAGACCTGACACACAAAAGTCTGGTCAACAAAACAGACACACAATTGAACGCCATTTCACGTTCACATTTAGCTCTCTCTCTCTCTCTCTCTCTCTCTCTCTCTCTCTCCATTGATCGGCAATAAATTTCTTTTAGTGTTTTCAATGGATATTATCTTTTTTATTTTAAACGTAAAAATAGTATAAAACTCTCTCTCTCTCTCTCTCTCTCTCTCTCTCTCTCATTCATTCATTTACTCAGTCTCTTCACTCTCTCCAAGTGATAAACTAGAGTAGAGCCCATATAACCAGCGCTCAGCCACTAATACCATACAATGCTGTATATGTTTTGAAAGCAAAAACTTCACAGTAATTAAGTTAACAGTGAATTTGTGGACTCAAACAAAAATAGTAATAATTTTCTAAATGGCGTTCACTTGTTATGCCATTTGACTGACTCTAGCAATGGGTTATACTTATAATGGAAACGGCTTTTAGTTTAGTTTCAGAATAAATATATATTTATATATATATTTTCGCTTTAAGTAAAGACCCATTTCTTCATCGTTTGATTAAATAAATAATACATTGGGTCTAAAGCTATGGCAAAACATAGTATCTTCATTTTTGCTCTCTCTCTCTCTCTCTCTCTCTCTCTCAGTTTCTTTTTCATCTTAAAGATTTTTATACCAGAATTTTATTTCTTTTATTCTATTTTTATACTATTTTTACGTTTAAAATAAAAAGATAATATCCATTGAAAACACTAAAAGAAATTTATTGCCGATCAATGGAGAGAGAGAGAGAGAGAGAGAGAGAGAGAGAGAGAGAGAGAGAATGGTTTAGTTCGTTGAGACAATTCAGTGACACAAACAAATACATAGTTAGCACAACATCTCTCTCTCTCTCTCTCCCTCTCCCAATCATTTTATGTCGTGTTTTAGTGTTGTATTGATATATACGGAGAATAAGTGTTGGCAGTCATAGCCATCACATAACTGAGCGCTAGTGTGAGTCGTTGTGGCCATCGGCTAAATAGACGGCCAAATGTGAAAATGCAATTCATTTGGCATCAGATATACGAAACAATGTGTCAATTGGACTGGAATTATAGCTACTGAACCTTCACATGGCTTTTAACTGCTTTCTCTATCCCTTTCTCTCTCTTTCTTTGCCTCTCAATCAGACATATTTTCATTAATATCTCATAACTGTATATAAAAGTCAGAGCTTTTGATCTATAATTTAGTTTTGCAGCGATTTTTGAGATCTAATAATAATCGAAATAAGAATAAAAATAATTGGTTTTTGTATAAGAATTGAATTTTCTCTCAGAAATATATTCTATATGTATATTAATAATGAATACGAGAGAGAGAGAGAGAGAGAGAGAGAGAGAACACGATTTTTATGTGTATCTTATTTTTATTCTTAAACAATAAAACATATGAAACAACTTATAATAATTTTTTGTTTAAATAAATATTAAGTAAAACAATGTTAACGAAATTGCTTTAAGTCACACACAAAGGTTTTGGCCGTAATCTTCTTACACACGAATATTCTTAATATTATTATTATTTTTATGTTAAGAAAAATAACATAAAATCCAAAAATTGCGAAAATTAATTGTTATTTCGCTAAACATATATAAAATGTATATAAAAGTTTATATTTTCATTACTGGTTTATAAAACGAGCTCATTATATGGTGTGTTAGGAAAAATGCATACAATGTGTGCGTAAAAGTCGTTTCCGAGACATGAGCTTAAAATTTATGGTGTATTTTGTTTTTCCTCTAAACGACAATAACATTGAAAACCAGTGAAAAGAAAGAAACAAAATTAGCGATTCTTCTCTTCTGATTAAGAATTGCTTTTAATATTTAATTCTGGATATAATTCTCGGATAATTGATGACCTTCTCCTCCCCACTCCCTCATCCTTAGCCACCACTTACTATTAGCTCTCTCTCTCTCTCTCTCTCTCTCTCTCTCTCATTCATTCATTCATTTACTCACTCTCTTCACTCTCTCCAAGTGATAAACTAGAGTAGAGCCCATATAACCAGCGCTCAGCCACTAATACCATACACTGTTGTATATGTTTTGAAAGGAAAAACTTCACAGTAATTAAGTTAACAGTGAATTTGTGGACTCAAACAAAAATAGTAATAATTTTCTAAATGGCGTTCACTTGTTATGCCATTTGACTGACTCTAGCAATGGGTTATATTTATAATGGAAACGGCTTTTAGTTTAGTTTCAGAATAAATATATATTTATATATATATTTTCGCTTTAAGTAAAGACCCATTTCTTCATCGTTTGATTAAATAAATAATACATTGGATCTAAAGCTATGGCAAAACATAGAATCTTCATCTCTCTCTCTCTCTCTCTCTCTCTCTCTCTCTCTCTCTACAATAAGACTGAATGTGGAAATGGTTTACTTAAAAAAATTATTTCATTAATATATTTATTTATCCAAAAACACAAAACATTAAAATGAATAGTAATTTTTGTTCACTAAATGATAAGTACTTTAAGGTTAAGAACTTCTCATCAAAAAGATATATTTAAAGCAATTCAACAAATTGTTTAAGTAATGAAAATTTAAAATAAAATAATGACTGCATTTGCAATATATTTGGATTAATATAACTAAACTTAAAAATATAATCACATTCTTAATAATCAATACTATGAAAGAGAAATAAATTTTAAATTTATTTTTAATCTCTCTCTCTCTCTCTCTCTCTCTCTCTCTCTTTCAATGATAGAAAATATTGACAGACATTAAAACACTTGACATTAATAGATATGGCAATAAAAATAAGTTTTTTGTTTAGCTCTACAATTAAGTCAATTCTCTTAATTACAACTCGATTTGAGTGCAACTAATGCCGAGCTTTAATGAAATTAACGTACATTTGAGTCCCATTTGAATGCAGTCTTTAAATGAGCAAAACTTATGCGACAAAACTCTTTTTCAATCAGTGTTTTAATGGGATATGAATTATAATTTATAGACACAGAGAGCAACAAAAAACAAAGTCATTCAAACCAAACGCACACAATAATAGTGGCAGAGATGCCATCGTTTTTGTCATTACGTTAAGTGTTTTTTGTCAACATTTCGACTATTACTTAATTCATTGATTTTTTCAAAACATAATATATATTTAGGTTTATTTTCTGGCTATTAATAAAAAAACGCGAATATAAAAATATATATGGTTGAAAATTGCACTATGGCTCAGAACTTATGGCTTATCGATTGTCTCCGTAAACATAATGATAGAATTATTTAAATTATATGTAGGTTATTTTTGTATGTGTGTTGCTATTATCTAATTAACATTTTCCATAATAATATTATTAATAATAAACATTTGCATTATATTTTTTTGGTGAATATTTATAATGTGTTCGCA